TGTTTTAATACGTGTTTTAATATGTGTAGTCATGTATGGGTGTTTATTATTTCTACTGTGGTAAAATCAGTTACCCTTCAGGGACGAGTAAAGAGTTACAGCTGGGTCCAGAACTCGACTGCACAGGCAGCAGGAGCTTCTACTTGTTTTATAGTCTTCTGTCAAAGGAGCACACAAAGCTTCACTCCTCCCACTGTATTCTGCTTATTCACACTATGATTACATATTTAAAAAATCAACAAAGCTACAAATGACTTAAATAAGTATTAAAAGATGTTAAAGATATTAAATAACTTAACAGTAGGCGACCAAGTGAGAAGCTCTCCTTACGAAAGCACCTCTTAACATTTTGTCCTGAAACACAAAAATAATATTTAACTAATGTTAAAAAGTGAACCACTGGAATGAATAATTAAAGCACTTATAAGTATTTATTGAACAGTTTACACAACACTGACAGGAACTTTTGTTTCCTCTGGCAGTGAGATGGTGGATTGCTTTAATGAGATTGCTGGGAACCCAGAATGCCGAGTGGTGGTGGTTTCTGGAGCGGGGAAGATCTTCACAGCCGGTAGGTATCAGACTGTTAACGTGTTTTAATGACGCCGTCTTCGTAGTGAAGTTGCATTTATTCTCTGTGTTGTGTTACTGTTCAGGTATCGACCTGATGGACATGGCCAGCGACGTACTCCAACCAGAGGGCGACGACACGGCACGAGTTTCCTGGAACCTCCGGAAAATAATCACCAAGTATCAAGAGACGTTCTCCGTTATAGAGAAGGTCAGAAGCTGTTTATCACACTAATGATACATAACATGATGAGATCGGACAGACGGAGATGTGGTTTTGTATTTGGACAGCATTGAAAATGTTGTTAAGTGTATTTTTTGTTTTCTTCTCAGTGTCCAAAGCCTGTTGTAGTGGCCGTCCATGGATCCTGTATTGGTGGAGGTAGGGCATCATCTCGCACTATTAAAGCACAACAATAAGGTTTTACATTAAAACGAATCACAAAATGGGTGACAGTGGGTTGGCCGACCATCTTTGGGCTGAACTTTGGTTTCCTGGTGTCACATAGCTGGCTCACTTTTAACCAGAGTCTGAATATAATAAAATAAACAACTAAAATGACAAGTAGTAAATAACAATAGAGACATTTTTGTAGATCAGTAGAAGCACTTTGCTTTATATGAGAATTATGTCAGAGGAAAAAAATGTTTAAGAAATCCTTTTTATTTTTCATAATTACTCCGAACTACTGAACATGACAATCCCACCTGTATTCAAAAAGCCTGATACAATACACTTACTGGGTCTTGTGTTTAATATTTGAACGTAATCCCCTTGATTTGTGATGTTGGATGAGGTCGCCCACAGTTGTTGTTAAGTCTTGCATATCAATATAACTCCTACAGTTTGTAATCCGTTAGATAAGTCGGCCATCATAAGATTGTACTGGTGGTTTCAGAGGAGGTTGTGTGTACATTGTGAAGTGTAATGTTCTCTGTGGCAGGTGTTGACCTGATCACAGCCTGTGACATTCGCCTGTGTACCCAGGACACCTGGTTCCAGGTAAAGGTATGTATACGTCCCTCTAATCTTCAGAATGTGGAAATGTGGTGAGGAAAATGGGAAATAGATAAATGATTAAGACAAAAAAAAGAGCAAAATTAATACTTTTTTTTATCAAATGAAGGCTTTATATTTACTTTTTACTATTCTATATAGTCTTATTTGTGACAGTTTTAGAGCTTGGAACAAAAAAATTATGTTTGAATGAAAAATATCAGTCATATTCATCATCATTCAGTGTTTAGTTAAAAAAACGGGATATAGCATTTAAATGTATAAAGCATAAATAAAGTTTATTGTATCCATAGACCCCTTTCTGTAGTAACGGTGATAAAATCTTGTAGCTGATGTTCTGATATTGTCCGTCTGATACTTGGGGCGGAGGTTACTTCAGTGTCTTTCTGGTTCGCTCTACAGGAAGTTGATATTGGACTTGCAGCAGACGTTGGAACTCTCCAGAGACTTCCTAAAGTCATCGGCAGCGCCAGGTAAAAGCACGCATACAAACAACGTGACACAAAGTGCTTCACACGTTACAACTGAGTTTCCTGTAGCTTTAAAGTTGTATGTTTTAAAACCCTTTATGTATGGAGTTCATACTGTTCTCATGTGATTAACTCTCACACTTTCTACAGTCTAGTGAATGAGTTGGCTCTGACTGCCAGGAAGTTGTACGCAGATGAAGCCAAAAGCAGCGGACTGGTCAGGTAAAGCGTCCTCTCGTCATCTACTAATCCTTCACTGACACACGTGTTATTAAATAGTTTTTTTTACTGAATCTGAGCTAAAGACAGGTCTCTCATTTTGAAATCCTCCTCCCATTTCCTCCTCCAGCCGAGTGTTTACAGATAAGGAGGCAATGATGGCCGGCGCTCTGGAGATTGCTGGTGAGATTGCTGCCCGGAGCCCTGTCGCTGTGCAGGGCACCAAAATCAACCTCATCTATGCCAGAGACCACAGCGTAGCAGAAGGACTCGACTACATGGTGAGAACATCAACCTTTATAAAAAACAAACATGAAAACAGTGGAGGATCTTTCAACATTAAATTCCTTCACTCCCTTTTATCCAGGCGACCTGGAACATGAGCATGCTTCAGACTCAAGATGTGATGAAATCAGCTCAGGCCGCGATGGAGAAGAAGAGTCCCAAGACGATCGTTTTCTCCAAACTCTAAAACGTCACTGAGCCAAAGTTCAGATACACAAACACAAAAGCTGCCATGTTATTTCTCCACTGTGGCC